TACGAGAAGTATGCACTCCTTGATGATACAAACACACGTGCATATATAATCCAGAGCAGATAGACTGACACCACGCATGGAAAGAGAGACGGAAACAGATCAATCGCTTGCTGATGAAGATGCACGCGACCCAGGGGAAAGCGTACGAAGGTGTGCTGAGAAATAGAGACCAGGGTCGTGTGAGACGGCCACACAAAGGGAGGAAGAATGCATCTACAGAATTCTTTATTCCCACAGGATGGGTGTAGACCAACCAGCAATACTAACTTTTTAATCTATTTGTTCAAATAGGCAATTGATTAAAACATGCAGCTTAACTTGTATACAAATAAATTGTTTTGTTTAGAAACAATGCGTGAAGAATTTTCACTTATTACCTGCACATTGTATTCTGCTTACTACACAATGTTCTTCCCTTTTGGCCAACATTGTTCTACAGTGACTATCAACATAGGATATGAGTTTTTGCCCATCAGGACACAATCTCTACTGTGGACCACTGGTTCCTATGGTTTGGTGTAGGATCTTGCACTTTATAGATATTCACCTTTCTTTTTTATTTGATAATGAAATGAACTACCTTCATTTTAAGCAATCTAAAAACTGCATTTCAAGAACTCAGAGCTGGGAAGCCCCACGGAGGACAAAGACAGGTGAAGAACATAAATGTTACAGGGGCTCGGGGGCAAGACGAGAAGGGAAGTTTGCAGTCCAAGTTGTTGGAAAGCTTAGATAATTTGAAATGGACAGGCTTACAACCCTCAGAATGAGTTATGTGTCCAACAGGGTCTCAGGAAAGAACACAATGTGGTGAGCCAAAGCTCACGCCAGGCATATGAAAGCTGGCCTGACACAGGGCATGCAGTTGGCTTTTCAAAATGGTCTTTGAAAAGGTCTGTTTCTGAGGGGTAAGATGTGAATCTGGTTTACTTTAACTTGTGGTTGTAACATCTGGTGAGACAACAAGTTTTAAATTATTTATCATTGCAAAGTAGAACTGTGCCTGCTAATCAAATTCAATAACAGCTAATTAAAATAACAGGGTATTTTTATTTGGAAAGCCTTTGTGGGTAAGGAAAGTCAATGAACTTTCTCATCTCTGTGGTGTCTCTTCCCCTACACTGTCTGAGGAGCGCAATGTAGAAAGGGCACAGTCATCTTTCATAGAGATCAGCCAGTACCAGGGATAGATACTCCATTTGAGGATATAAAAATGTAGTTTCTTCACCAGTATTTGGTCTTCCACAGGTGGCGAAGCATTAAGCACACTCTTTTCCAGTTCAGTGTCCAAAACAGAGCTTGTAGCAGAACCGATGCCCAATAAAAATATGTTGAGGATAGTGAATGAATCGCAGCTCTAAGCCTTAAAGCCAGTCTATTTGCACTAATTTACTCCTCTGTCACTCCAGATTTGGGATGAATTTGTCTTTGCAGTTCCCTAAATCCAAAAGATAATTAGGTCTTCTGTAGTCTGGTCCCAATTATACTGCATAGGGCCATGGAATTACTTCTTCCAAAATGGAAACTTGTCTAATTGTTTATTTGGCTTTAAATAAAGTAATAGTAATCACTGTAGAAAACATTAGGCCACACCAAAAGCATAACAATATTAAAAATGACCACCAATTCCCCAGAGAAAACACCCACTCGTGTTACAGAGGAGGAAACCAAGGTCTAGAGCTGAAGGAAGAGGGACTCGGCCGGAGCCTCACGTGCCCTTTGTCTTCGCGTCAAAACCATGATTTTAGATGGCCTTTGGTTTCTGGTTCTGGCCATCTGTTTCCCGTACACACCCTGCATTTTCCCATTAAAGTTGGCTGGATCCTAAAGCCTGCCCTTCACTCTTCCCACAAATGTCAGATTTTAAAAAATCCTGAAGGGTGGACATCAACTTACCAAATACCGGAATAACAGAATTAGGAGGTTCAACTAGAAACATGAAAAGGTAAACTCAATATAGGTATATAGAAGTACTTAAGTATTTTTCTTAGAAAGAAGGGAGGGAGGAAAAGAGAGAAAGGAAGGGAAGGAAACACAGAATACAAGAACCCCAAGGGATTAATACACAGAGAAATATAAGATTAGGATCCATCTGTATGCATTTTAAGTTATTCATGGTATCTAACTAAATTCATTGTACATATTCCTTTTAAGACTGACACTAAAAAAAAAAAAAGGCAAGTCCTCACATACAAAATAAGAAACTACAGGGGACAAACCACGTAGATGTGTACTTAATTTTTAGGCCGAGTCCTGGATTTTAAAAAACCTGATTTATTCACTCTACTGTATGACTGACTGACTACAGCAGGTAGTTTTTTTTTTTTTTTTTTTTTTTTTTTTTTTTTTTTTTTTTTTTTTTTTTTTTTTTTTCTGACAGGCAGAGTGGACAGTGAGAGAGAGAGACAGAGAGAAAGGTCTTCCTTTGCCATTGGTTCACCCTCCAATGGCCGCCACGGCTGGCGCGCTGCGGCCGGCACACCGCGCTGATCCGTGGCAGGAGCCAGGTGCTTCTCCTGGTCTCCCATGGGGTGCAGGGCCCAAGCACTTGGGCCATCCTCCACTGCACTCCCGGGCCACAGCAGAGAGCTGGCCTGGAAGAGGAGCAACCGGTACAGAATCCGGCACCCCGACCGGGACTAGAACCTGGTGTGCCGGCACCGCTAGGCGGAGGATTAGCCTAGTGAGCCGCGGCGCCGGCCTACAGCAGGTAGTTCTGTCACTCCTCTTGCACTATTTCCCTAATTCCCTCTTCATTTAGAAAGCAAAGCCAAAGACACCCATTTCACCTGGTGCCCGATGTCCACGCGCTCATTCCTGGGCCGACTCTACTAGGCTTGCCCCTCAATCTCGCCTCATCTGGTTTCTGGTCCTGCTACACTTTGCGGGAAGCATGCAAAGGCAGATCCTGTGTCTGTTTATTTATCACCAATACTGTCCCCACTCCTAGACTGAAGCCCAGTTGGTACTAAGCAAATCTGTACTGGGCAAGGGTATTTTGTAGACTGTCAGAACTCGAGGTCAGATAGCACAGCCTTGGGAAGAGTAAGAAGTGTGCTCAACAGCGCCCACCACTGCTCACAAGACTCCAGCGTCTACTGGGTCCCCAACGCTCCCTGCCTCTCCCCTCTCTCCCTGGTATTTGTGCCTCCTCTGAGGGTTTCCATTCTGGCTTTATGACCTCCTGCTCTTTTTCCACTTGTCTTCTTGTGAACATTGCTTTGGTTTTTATACTACCCCACCATACTGAGTGTGCCCAAATTTAATTCCCTAATAATAATTTCTCTTCTTTTGTAAGCAAAAAATTTCCCATTTCTAAGTGCTTGGGTGATCTGCATTTGGTTGTCATTTCTGCCTGAGATTAAACCCTGCTTCCTTGGCCATGCGAGCACGAATCCCTTCCAGCTTCCCCGTGGGGAACTCCTTAGACCTTTATTCTTTGGAATTGTCTTTGAGTTTTCCCTCCCCTAAGAGCTTTGCTAACTCTTCCTCTACAAAGACGCTCATCCCTGCTCTGTTTTCATTTCTGTAGTCACTGCCCCGATTCAGGCCTTCATGAACGTATTGGTCAGTGCCAATTCTCCTGGAGTTGATATCCCCAAATTCTAGTGCATGAATGGCCATAGTTATCTAGTTATCAACAGATAGCTCTCTCCCACGAACTTTCATCACACGTAACTGCCCTGTCTCGTCTCCCTCTATTCCTTTTATGTCAAACAGAAGCCCCCAAGATGTGCAAGACAAGGCCCCTTCACCTCCAGCACACAGCAGGTCTCTCCTACCAGGATCCTTGCTCCCTCCCCTGAGCTTTTGCTGTCTTTCCCTCACCTGCAAGGCCTCCCCCACCTTTGTTCTCCATCTCCATCATCCCGTTCTCTATGGTTTACCTCCTCAAGGAGCTTTTTCTTACGTCTCCATCTCATGATGACGCCTGCCTTTCCTTCTCTGGGCACCAGTGTTAAGCTCTGGCTGTGTTGTTAGGCTGTTTTCTGACTTGTTTAGTGATGCTAGTTAACAATAATAGTAATAGCTAGCACTCACGGAAAGCCTAGTATGTGCCGGGTACTGGGCTAAGCTGTAGACAAAGTTCCCTGCTCGTGGCCACACAGTTCATCAAGTGGCAGAGCTAGGATCTGCACCCACAGAGCACAGGCGTTGTTCATGGTGCCACGTGTGTACGCATAGGGGTCCCACACATGGCAGCCCACTCTAGCCAGGTTGGTCCAAGAGAGTCATTTCACCTGGTTCTTCCACATTCTGCATGCAAATATGTAGGAGACAAGGCCCTGACCTTTCCTTAAGTCTCCAGTGTCACACTGCAGGATCGCCAAGAGCTCACCTTGCGATCTCACAGCTAAGCACTGGGACTGCTGGGAAGCCAGGATTGACGCGCTGTTAAGGTCATTGTTTAGCATTTTCCTTCCAGTGAATGCCTCATCTCCTTTTTGCAAAAGAACCTCGGACTCAAACCACATTAAACGCCACTGTCCTCTGCTCTGAGGTCTGTACTTAAAATATGCCTTAATGCCCCACACTTGACAGGCCAATGCTTTATTTCCCCAACCCACTCTCAAGGTCCCTGCCACGGAGGCCTCGTGCAGCACAACACTCTCCACCTACACACTGACTTCGCACAGCTGCCTGGGCCATTTGGCTCTTAACCTGGCCAGGTAGACCACTGGCCCTGGGTGCTGGCTTTCCGCCTTTGCATTTTTGTTCTAAAGGGCCCTGTCATTTCAATATTTATTCACACATGGCCTTTGTCACTTAGAAGTCCTAATGGGAAAGGCATTGAGTTAGTGCAACCATTTGCCTGCTCTTCAATCTCTTTCCAATGCTTGCTTGCTTCTTTTCTTCAAGTAGAAATGTGGAGTCCGAGTAATGGGATTTTTGAGCACTACTTTTGCCAGCAGTGGAGTGCCTGGCCTCTCAGGGGAACAGCCTTGGAGAAGAACACTGCCGATAACAGAACACAAGGAGTTTCCCTCCTGGCTCCTCACCTCTCTGCTTCCAGCCGCATCTCCTCCCTCTTTTGCCTCCTAAGTTCTCTGCGACGTTCAAAATCATCCATGGTGTGCTTTCCAGGGAGACCAGATCGCGTCTGGAGCTGCGGGGAGGAGGCAGAATCAGCATCAGGCTCATCACCTCTCAGGAGTCGCTTTCCTTCCCCTCCCTACCCCCCTCCCCCGATTTCACCCCCCCCCCCCATTTTTTGTTTACTCTTTAAAAAAAAAAAAAAACACCTTAGAAGACTGATCAGGGAGCCAGGGACCAATTTCTGACTCTTGAGCAGAGTTGAATTCAGTCTTATTCATAAAACTTTAAAAACAGACAAGACTCTAAGATAGCTTTAAAAAAAAAAAACCTCAGGAGACAGAAAGGATTCGGTAGACTGAAATATTGGTAGACTCTCTTGAGAGCTACTGGGAGAATGTTGCTGGTTGTAGCTTTCTGAACTCCAGACAAGTTATTAAAAAGTGAACAAAGAGAAAAACAGAAGTGGAAAAAAAAAAAGTGGCCAGGAAAGAAACACGGAGGAACTTCAAGAAAAGGAGAGAAATAAAACAGTACCAGATCAAGCATCATTTGCATATTCCAGGAATATTAGCCTCAGGGTGCAAGTCTAACTAGAGCAGCATTTCAAAGGCAGTTGATGGGGGCTCCAGCTCGGATCCAGCTCAGAGACCCCAGCTCTCCGGAAGTCTTACCCTCTCCTACCTCCTCCGCGATGGCTTTGAATTCCGGGAGGATCAGCCCTGTCCAGCTCTTCAAACGAGCCGCCTGCTTCCCCTGTGTTTCTGTGCCATAGCATGGACTATTCCAGAATTCCCCTGCAGCCCCCAAACCCCAAATGCCTACCAGAAAGGGGAAGCGGGCTCTTTTTGTCCTTGCTTTGTTTACAGAGCTGTCAGTGGTTCGTTAAACTCGGCCTGGAATCTGGCATTTAAGGCCTGCTTGAAGATTGCTTCCTGTGCGGAGCCCAGGCCTCCGCTTCCTCTGGAATCTTAGACTGCGCCACTCGGATCACAAAAATATTTTGCAGCCCTTTCTGTGCACAGGAGAGGGACCGTGTGCCCGTGGTAGGAAAACAAGGAGCTGCGGAAAAGCTGAGGCCGTCCCTGGATGCCATCTTTGAAGAGGCAAAGAGTAGAGAGAGGCTTCTAGACCTTGGAGTCCAGTTCAGAACCCTTAGACACATTGCTAAATGCTTTCGGGTTTTTTTTTTCAAGGGTGTTTTTCTCTTCTTCAACCATGCACACAAACAAAAATACAACCTCAGCCAAGAGAAACAAAACTACACAATGTTTGAATCTGTCCTTTTCCTTATCCTCCAGGGTATTAATTACACTGCTTCTAAAACGTTCAAAATGCAAATTTTGCTGGTTCTTGGGGCCTTCAGCATTTGAATCTATCTTCCTCCCTTCCTCTCACCCACAGTGCCGCCCAAGAATTTGTTAGTTAGGAAGGAAACAACCCGTTTGCCTTATTATAATTTCATCCAACCCGAAGTAATCTCTGGACATTTCACAGTCTGATCTCCCCATAGTGACAGGAATGAAAAACAGCAGCGGGAGGGTCCCCCAAAAGGGGCTGTCTGAGGGCTTTGTGGGGTGGGCCCCTGTTCTCACGACAGTCCAGTGTGTCTGAGAGACCCCGCGGGCAGCAGGACCCAAACCCAGCTTCTCCCATGCCTGGTGCAGGGAGAAACCCAGCTCTTCCTGCCTGCAGCCAGTCTTCCATCGCATCCTAACAGCTACCGGCACAACTACAGCAGCGGACAGACAGAGCTCTGTCTGCAGGCACCACACAGCTTGGAGCTCATCCTGTCAGCTCCGGTCCTTGCTCTTCCCACATCAAAGTCAAGGCGCTCCCCCGGACTGCTGGCCAGCAGCAGAGGGTCCCAGGATGTGCCTCTGCTGTGGAATAAACACTGCCAAGCAGGCCCAAGATGCACAGAGTTTGCATTTCTGGGGTGGGAAGGGACGCTGCCGAACCCGTGCGGTGGCTTGGGCTGGCTCCTGACCCATGCAAATTCTTTTTCTCTTGCCGCTCCTCTCCTCCTACTCCTCACCTTTTCCTACTTACTTGGGAGCTTTTTTCTTTCCCAACCACAGAACAACTGCTGAGCAAGCACCAGGAGGCACAGAGAGAGAGAGAGAGAGAGAGAGAGCAAGAGAGAGAGAGAGCGCTATTTACCACAACTCCATAGACCAGCGTGCTTCTGAGTTATGCTCTGTGAGTATGTGGTGGGTGTAGCCGAGGGAGAGGAGAGGGCAGGAACACGTCTGTGTACAGGGTGGAATGACTGTCAGTTGAGGTGCAGGAGTGTGTGAGTGTGCACACACGTGTGTGCACGAGAGAGAATGTGTGTGTTAGTGAAAACAGCTCTTAGCTGGTCTCCAACCGGGATGGGGCTGGCCATCTCCCATCATCCTCACACTCTCCTCTCCAGTGCTTTCCTGCACTGCCTGGGCACTATTCCTGTGTAAGGGGAGCCGTGCCTGGACAGAATTCTAAGTGATTTTTCCCCCCTCTTTTGGGACCAGCAGCTTCCACGTCCCCAGCTAGTAATCCTTCATTTCCTCCCCTACCCCCGGCCAGTGCTGAATTCTTTCCAGCAACCTTGGTTAGGAAACAAACTCTCAACCAACGTGGTGAGGAAACATCAAGGCAGAGAGATGGTGTAGACCGTGTCACCAACAGGCAGAGCGGCACGGGAGCGAGAAGCAGGCTGGAGGAGGCGTCTGTCGATGGGGGAGGCAGGTGCATTGCTGCGAAGTGTTTTGTGCAGCTGGACAGACCACGGTCACGCTATTGGAAGAACTCTCATGTGACTCCTTTTTAAAGTGGAAAAAAAACCTTTCACAAAGGCATATAAATCATACTGATACCTGTCTCTTTAATAGGGATTCTCCTATATTGGATTGCCTTTAAACACACACACACACACACACACACACACAGGTGCACCGACCGTAATTAAGGTAATTGGTGTTATGGAGTTCAACTCAACACATGGCTCCCCCGTTTGGTAATGGCTTTGCAAAGCCTGTGGCCCAGGTGACTGTCACCTGTGACCCAGGTGACTGTGACCGGAGACATGTCCTCCCGTGACTCACCACCACGTTAGGGCTTCCTGAACCTTGTCTGTCCCCTTTCCCTCCTGTGGTCTCTCCTTCTCTCTAAGGCACTACTTCCTCTGCTGGCTGTTTTCCTCTTTCTCTGTCATTTCCGGTTTTCTTCCCCCTCTCCCTCCCTGTGTGGGGAAGCAAAGCACAGTTATATTTACGAAACCGAATCGATGCTTCTTTTCCTTAAAGCAATGGAGTCTCATTTCTAGTCTGTGTCTCTCCCCCAGGAAATCCATGATTGTGTTTTGTATCCACAACGTTACGGTGGTTGTTTTCTCCATGGGCATGGTACCTCAGTGTGGACATTTCCTGTGTGTCCCTTATAAGGAGAATGAGTTTGTTTTTCCTTTTGTTTGGGTCAGGGTGGGTGGCAGACATGAAGCCATTTCAGGGGTGGGGGAGGGGAGCGTGCGTGCGCATGTGTGCAGCCGCAGTCAAGAGAGGAGGTTTGTGAGCAGGGGGCTTTCTAACCCAGCCCCCAACCACTAGAGGGCAAGGCCGTGTGGGGAAAGTTAAGTCCTATCTATTTCCGAATCCTCGCAAACCGCATGGTGCGCGGGGGTGGAGAGAGTCCTTGGGATTTTTGGTCAGCCCCAATATTGGTCTTGGAATGCATCAAGAATCAAATCTGTTGTGTCAGGAATGCTGAATAAGTTGAAGCAGCTTCCAAAAGTAACTAACAGCTATTGAATATGTACCATGTGGTGGGTCATTTTTTAAACCCCTTAAAAATATAACTAACAGCATATTTCTTAGAGCAGAGTTGAGTAGAGAGGACAGAGTTCCCACAGACTTCCTCCCCTCCCCCCCCGCCCCGTGGATCATATAAATTTAGGACAGAAATGATCTTAAAAGTGACCCATGCCTTCAGTTTCAAACCCATTTGGTTTAAATCACAGATTTACCAAGCCACAAAGATCTCAATTAAATTAACTTTCCGAATAAATACGAGACTCTATTATTTTACTGTTAGTGCCTTATAAGATTCATAAATCAGGGAGTCATAGCTTCACTAGCATCATGGCCCGCTTTTCATTGATATTTTAGAATTCTTTCTCTTACAGTGTACCTTCCTCATTGTAATCTTCCTCCTCTAACCCACTGTCTTCTTATCTCCAACATAACTATTTCTTTACAATTACAAATTGTAATTGCAAAGATCCAAAGCCAGGAGCCAGGTGCTTCTCCTGGTCTCCCATGCGGGTGCAGGGCCCAAGCACTTGGGCCATCCTCCACTGCACTCCTGGGCCACAGCAGAGAGCTGGACTGGAAGAGGAGCAACCGGGACAGAATCCGGTGCCCCAAGCAGGGCTAGAACCCGGGGTGCCGGTGCCGCCAGGCAGAGGATTAGCCTACTGAGCCTCGGGCCGGCCATTAGAGAGATCCTTTCTAACTAGTCATCAGTTTGCACCCACTGTAAATTTCACAGTTTAACTGCTTCAATGAAACCTTACAAAAGCCTTTAGACAGTAAATATTCAGTAAATATTAACTGAGCATCTATTAGACAATGGACAAGACAGAAAAGGTCTTTGCCTTCCTGCAATGCTTCTTTCTCTAAACTTCTATGGGGCTGCTGAAGTCAGTTGTGGTTCGGCCCCCAAGGGCTCATGCTGGAAGCGTGATCCCTAGTGTGCAATGTTAAGAGGTGGTAGAGGGCTGGCGCTGTGGCGTAGCTGGTGAAGCCTCTGTCTGCTACATTCCCATCCCGCGAGGGTGTCGGCTCAAGTCCCAGCCGCTCCACTTCCAATCCAGCTCCCTGCTAATGTTCCTGAGAAAGCAATGGGAGATGGCCCAAGTCCTTGGGTCCCTGCACCCATGTGGAGACCCGCAAGAAGCTCCTGGCTTCAGACCAGCCCAGCTCTGGCTGTTGTGTCCATTTGGGGAGTGAATCAGCAGATAGAAGATCTCTCTCTCTCTCTCTCCCTGTATTTATGACTTTCAAATAAATAAATCTTTTTTTTTTTTAAAGGTAG